GGGCCCCCCCCTAAATAATGTCACACTAGTCTACAAAGCTATTGTACTTATACAGCAGCACCTCCTTACAGCAGCACCTCCTTACTTAGCAATGGAAAGCCTTGAAGAAAAAGAAAAGGCTGTGCTTGAAGAAGCACAGAAAAGGGCACAAGAGATTGTGAGAGAAGCAGAGTTGAAGGCACAATTGATTTTGAAGCAAGCTGGAGGGAATGTTTTAGTTGAAAGAAAGGGTTCAGACAACTTCAAGACACCAGATAGACCAACAACAAGCTTCAAGAGCCCAGCTGGCAGCAAAGAAGATCTTGAAGATAGCCAGCCTTCTCCTCCTTCTAGTGGCAAATCACAGTTTGGCTTAGAGAAGTTCTTTGGTAACCCAAAGCAGCAAGCAGATGCAAGACCTGTGTTGGAGAAGAAGATTTTAGGAAAGGAAAGAAAGAGATCCATTAAAGAGGTTGAGCTTGCTGAGTTGAAGGAGCAGTATGTGCAGAGGTTGAAGGTAGTGGAAGAGTTAGAGGCAGAGAAAAGGATTGTAATAAGTCCTTCTGAGGCAGGGAAACTTGGTGGTAGACCCCTTGTTGAAGACAAAAGCAATGCTGGCTTGAAGAGCAACAGGAAGAGAGCTGGCATGCCTTCCAGGAGGAAGGAGTTCTCAGTTGTAGAGAAAGTCAAGATTGTAGAAGACTTGGAGCGCATACAGCAAGCATCTTCCAGCAGCAAAGAGCTCTTCAAGCAAGGCAGGAGCAGGTATGGCTTAGACACCAGGACCTTGAAGCACCTCATGTCCAAAAAGAAAGCTTTTGAAGAGCAAAGGTCCAAGTTGAAGACTAGGAGAGGCAGAGTTGTAGGGTCAAGGCTTGTCAGGGCAAAGGGTGGAGGGAGAAAGTTGGAGTTCCAGAAGGAGATTGACCAGGTCAAAAACATGATTTTGAAGGAGAGATCCAATGGAGTTGTGCTTGCCAAGGGCGACCTTCTAGATGAGTTTCTTGCACAGCTGATTTCTTCAGCCCAAGAATGTTTGAAGCAAGCAGAGCTTTCCAAGACTGAGGCCCAGAAGAAGTCTTGGAGCCTTGAAACCAAGTCTTACTTTGATAGAAGGGACAAGCTTCTAGCCAGCAAGAAGTACAGGCAGTCTTTCACCACCAGGCTTGTAGAGTACTGTGGTTCAAAGCTTGAAGAAAGAACGCGTGTGCAGCTTAGTTGGCAGGCCATTGACTTCCAGCTTTACCTTGCAGGTGCTTGCTTGGAGGAAAAGCTCTTGTCGCAAGTCTTTGCAGAGCCTTCAAGTGTGTTGTCTCCATCAGTTAGAGAGCACCTTGTAGTGGGCTTTTCAGATCAAGTCCCACTTTGGGCAAAGGCTGAGTCCACCAAGATGATAGTTTCCAGCCAGGAGCTTCAAGGGATTACAACTGCAGACAGGAAGCAGTTTAACCTTTTCAGGAAAGACTTGCTTCAAGCTGTTGAGTTCTTCAGGGAAGCAGATGACCCCAGCCAGGTTGTGACCTTGGAAGGCCCAGAGAAGCTTGCAGCTGAAAGGAGGATTGCAGGAAGCCTTACAGCCAAGTCAGTTGCAGAGAACTCCAAGTACAGGATCACTTATGAGGCACGCCAAAGAATTGTAGGCTTGCCTGTTGGAAGTGATGGTGTTAGAGGAGAGGTTGGAGCTGGGTTGTTGGTATTTCCAGGTGTTCATGCGCGTTTGAGCAACTTGGACTCCCTTGGCAAGTGGATTGAAAGGGAGGAGTTTGAAGTTGGTGGCCAGAAGGTGGTCCATCTTCCAGGTGAGCCTTCAAGGGCTTTGCAGTGGGCAGTCAAGTTAAGGAATGAAAACCCACACCTCTTTGAGCAACTTTCAGTCATGAGCCAGCCTTCCAGCAACATGGACTCTGTATTGTTGAAGTGGGTGATTGAAGAACAGGTAGCAAAAGAGCCTGTTGCAGTCTGGGTTAGAGATTCCTTTGCAGCCATTTTCAGCGAGGAGATTAGAGAAACCCAGGCCATTGGAAACCAAGCTTCAGCAGTCCTTTTAGGCAAGACAACCCAAAGGTTGCAGCTTACAGACACTGACTTCGCCATGGCCTTCAAGGCAGATTTCAGAAAGGCTCTTGCAGAGAAAAGGAGTGCTCACAGGCTTGAAGGGAAGGAGGGCTCTTTCAAGATTACCCACAGGACAGTGATTGAAGCCACCCTTCAAGCCCAGGAGGCTGCAGTCAAGAGAAACTTGGAGACTTCATGGGTGATTAAAGGAGCTTTCAGGAATGCCCTTGTCATTTACAGGCCTGACTTCAAGAGTGGGACTTTGAAGCCACTTGAAGCAAAGGATTGTGGTCTTGAAAAGCTGGACCTTGGAAGCCACAGAATTCCAAGTGAGTGGCTGCATCCCAGAAAGAGCTGGTTGGAGAATGGCATTCCAGCGCAGCCAGATTTTAGTTTGAGCGCAGCTTCCACCAATCTTCAAGACCTTCTAGACTGGGCCTCTTACACCAACCCAGCCCTTGAAGATGAGAAAGAGTTTCCAGTGGACTTTGAAGGTTCCATTGAAGAGTCTCTGGGGCTTGGCTTGAAGAACTCCTTGTTTTTGAGCCTGCACCCAAAGGTTAAGAGAGCAGCATTTTTAGCTCAGAAAGATGCAAAGTTCTCAGAAGTGCTTGAGAAGTCCAAGCAAAAAGCTGAAAGGCTGAAGGCAAGGGCAAGTTTCAGGCCTGGTTTGTTGAAGGCTCTCAGAGAGAAGCTTAAAGGCATGAGCAAGAAGGAAGCCATTGCAGAGGTGGTTGCAAAGAGCACTGCTTCTAAGAAGAAGATTTCAGCCATCTTCAAGCCTTCTGCAAAGGTGAAGCCTTCCATTTTCAAGAAAGCAGCTAAGAAGCTATTGAAGAAACACAAGGCAGAGCATTCTGCAGACAAGGGCATTGCAGAAGCCAAGAAGAAAGCAAAGGAGGATACAGTTGTTGAAGCTCCTGTTGTTGAAGCTGCTTCTGGGGAGACAGTTCTTTGTAGAATTGTTTCAGAAAGTGAAGGGAAAGGGAAGTATGGGCAAGAAGGGATGGTTGAAGTGAAGAGCTTGGAGAAAGATGGTGGTGAGTTTTGCCAGCTCATTGGAGACAAGCACACAGTTGTAGTTTGCAAGGTTTCAAGTCTTCTTGTGAAGCAAGCCACATGGCTTCCAGTGAAGGAGTGGATGCCTTTCAGCAAGCTTTCTAGAAGCAGGAAAGCTGAAGCCCTTTATATGATTGGTTTGAAGCCAGAGCCCTTTGCAGACAATGGTGATGATTTGATGGACCTTCCAGGCAAAGATGAGAACTTTGATTCTCAGCACATGCTGCTTGGCTTTGAGCTTTTGAGGTGGCAGTTCCAGGACTACTGCAAGGAGGTGGGCTTCCTAGATCCTTACCTGACCTCAATGTATTTGAGGGAGGAGGATGTTCCACAAAGAGAGCTGTTGAAGAAAACACTTCAAGACCTTGGGGATTCAGATTCGCGGGTGCTTCTTTGTCCAATTTGGAGTGCCAAGACAATTTGTCATTGGACTCTGCTTACAGCTGAGAGGGTTGAAGGGAAGTGGTCTTTTAGGTACAGGGATACCTTGGCAGACCCAATAGAAGATTCCTTGAAGAAGGCTTGCAGTATAGCCAGCCTTTTGCAGAAGGAAGGTGTCTTTGAAGGTTTCGAACTCTTTCCAGCAAGTTGGAAGCACATGTGGGCTTTGGACTCTTGCATACATGATGGAAGAGGTTTGCAGCTTGTTTGAAGGCTTGGCTTCCAGAGGGCACCCAAACATTAATATGTTGAGGCTGAAGCTTGCATCTTGGTGGCACCAGCTTTCAGTAGAGAAGAAAAAGCTTGAAGAAAGCAAGGTGGCACTTGAAGAGAAGGCAGGGAAAATTTCAGTCCAGCAAGAGAAAGCCAAGGAGAAAGCCTTGCAGCAGCTTGCCAAATTGAAGAACCATACCAGCGCTGCAGCTATTAAAGCCCAGGAGATGCTTGAAGCCAATAGCAAGTACTTCAAGCTGCAGCAGCTGAGTGAGGCTTCAAGGTACAAGATTGAAGGCACCCTTTCAAAGGGAAACATCTGTTCCAAGTGCAGATGGAACAGTGGATGCTTGGAGTGCCACCCAGGCAAGGCTTTGAAGTACTATTGGAGCAAAGAGGCGCATTCAAAGAGCCTTGTTCCAGGACCAGATCTTCCAAAGAATTGGGAGCACCTTTCAGGACAGGGGGGGGAAGAAGCAAACACTAGCCAACAAAGCACACACAATGAAAAAAACATGCAAACGCATCAAATCTCAATGGAAATCTCCAAATTTTGAATAGAAATCTCCA